TCTTACAGTAACAGCTGGATCTCCCTAGGGTCAAAACCAGTCATTGCATCGCAGAACATAGAAATGGATAAGTATTATGCGTGTAGGTAAAGATAAGTTATCTACAGCCCCTATAGTAACAAAAGGGACGAGCATCACCTCTCGCGCATCAGTGAGGCCGAGGGGAACCTAGAGGTGAGGGAAAGGCGGGCATCAGGGAAGTATCAGTAGTGCGAGCATTCCCAGATATACCTGTTCAGCCAAGTCAAAAAATCAGGGATAGGCCAGGAGGAAGAAGGCACGTCCAAACAGGACAGCCTAGTAAGAAGCAGGGAGAGGTGATGCTCATTTGCCAGACCAGAAACATGATGAAATAACACCTGCCGCCATCCCCTATACCACAACTAACTCCCCACACCCAGCGCCCCCGCCCCCTCAAGCCCCCCTCCGAGTGAGGCATCAGGCCCCTACCATACTCCCAAATATGTTGCATACTGTACTCAGTTCGCTGCGATCTCCTCTGAAGAAACCAGCTGTGCAGGGCGCATCGAGGCGGGTAGAGGAGAAGCAGAGTTCATCTGGATGTTTCCTCAGAAGTAGCAGGACGACTTCTAATGAGGCAGGAGGATGCCGTCAATGGAGGACAAACGATCAGGAAGCTGACATTCGAATATGGTGCATGGGAGTCCAGTTTGTAGAGCGAATCACAAGCCAATTGGAGGCGCAGGGTCCGTTGGGGGGCAATAATAGATATTATTATAGTAATAATATTGCTCAACAATAGAGAGCAAGCCGGGGTCAGGTCGTCGGCCAGGGAGGAGGAGCCGACCGTGGAGTGGACAATGCTCGTCAGCCAATGGGACAGAGATGGGTGAGAGAGGCCCGTTGGACATCTTCTGGTCAATGACTGTGGGTCTGCCTCCTGAAGTGTTGGCTCCCATCTATGCAGGCACTTGGTGTATTGAAAAGAGTGGGAGTCCAATGCACAATGAGTGGGAGGGAGAAGGACATTCGGGACTCTTTAGGCGAAATGGTAGTGAAACGTGGAGAGTTGAGGCAAACTGCAGGCTCCTGATAAAGGGTGCACAGAAGTGGCAAGAGTGGGTGAGGATTAGGTGCAGTTAAATCTCGTGCCATGACTTTCTGTGTGCAGGAGAGGCCGTCGGGCTGGAGACGGCCATCGCACCCCCTGTGGGGGGTCTTGGAGGAGTTGAAGGGACTGTCCGACATCTGCAATGGGAATGGCCTTGCCAGTCCATTGCACCATCCGCAGAACCCTGATCCAGGGCCAGCTGCACTCTCAAAGAGCTGTGCCATTCAGGCAGGTCTATCAGTGGAATGCTCAAAGAGGAACAGAAGGATGGCAGATCTTCGGGGACTCGCAGGTCAATTTGTGGCCACCTGCCCGTGCTTAAAGGCAAAAAGGAAATCTCCATCTGTAGGGAATGTTGCAGGAGCGGAGCGTGTCTAATAGTGGATGGAGAGTTTGCCTTTGGCGTAAGGTCATACTGGATGAGTCCTGAAATAATTGTATTTCCGCCCCTTCGTAAATTAGACATCTTCTGTCCCTGGCGCAACTAAGTATATCCTCCTTGAGCGGGAAACTGACAATGCAGCAGACAATATGTCAGGAATGGACTCACCATTAGTGGTGGGACTCATCTGCCGTGTGGGCTGCAGTACCAGGGCTGGCCAGCGGGTGCTCTCAGCAACCAGAAGCTCACTCCTGCAGTCATCCATCACTTGAGACTGATTGCAGGAGGTGTATTTAAGGAATGGCCAGACCTGCAGTCAGTGCCTTGATGTATGTTTCCCATGAGCCCCTGTACCTGTATCCTGTCTGCTTCCTGCCTGATCCTGACTCTGCTTTGATCCTGACTCTGAACGAACTCCGCCTGTCCTGACCTCGGCTATTCCTGACCACTCTTCCGCTCGCTCCTGGTACCCTGTTTGCCCAATTGCTACCGACCCGGCCTGCCTGACTACGTTTGATTGTGTATATATGGTTATCTTTTGGAGGTTGGGTTGTTTGCACTGTGTTATGTTTACCTTGCACTGCATTTGTGTTAGTCTTTAATAAATTGTCTTGTTTACACTATACCTGCGTTTCCCTGTGTCAGTCCCACACATCTCTGGTCATACCCGGAGCCCTGACACAATATCTCTTGGTGGGTCCGCGTCACCCCCCTGGGCCGGATCGCCCTGTGCACACGCTCCATGTCAATTGGAGTTGCTGGCGGGCAGCCCAAGAGGTCATTAAAGATGGTCGTTACTGCCTTGGGAATATCAATGGTTTCTACAGATTCTGGTAGGCCACGGATTCTAATGTTATGTCTACGGCCACGATTGTCTAAGTCCTCAATATGCCTGTAGAACTCCCGGATAGTCAAGGTATGTATTTCTGACTGTCGCTGTAAATGGAGTATGGCGGTCTTGTTTTGTCTAGAGGCAGACTCCACCTGATCCAGCCTTGAGCCCATTGAGCAAATATGCTCACGCAGTTTGCTAAGGGCAGTGGTCAGTGTATTGGTTAACGTGGCCTTTATGTCAGCGGCCACAGCTTGTAAATCCCTAAGTGAGAGGGATTGAGTGGCAGATGAAAAATCATGCTGTGGCACTGTGTCATTGTGTGCAGCCCTGCAAGGAGAACAGCCTGTGTCAGTGGCTGCAGAGGGAGGGTGTCAGGGCTCCCAGGTATGACCAGAGGTGTGTGACTGAAGCAGGGAAACGCAGACTTCAGATATGTGATTAACAATGTAATTTATTAACACTAACAATACAAACATAAACACAGTGCAATACTAAACATAATACAGTGCAAACAAACCAACCAACCACCCACAGATAACAGTACATACAAGCAAGCGTCGTCAGGCAGGCCGGGTCAATATCAATTGGGCAGGTAGGTACAGGGGGAGTAAGCGGAGAATGGTCGGGGTCACAGGCCAGGTTCAGCAGGTAGCAAGCAGCGTAGTACAGAGGGTCAGGCAGAGGGATGGTCAGGGTCACAAGCCAGGGATCAGAACAGGTAGCAAGCAGCGTAGTACAGAGGGTCAGGCAGAGGGATGGTCAGGGTCACAAGCCAGGGATCAGAACAGGTAGCAAGCAGCGTAGTACAGAGGGTCAGGCAGAGGGATGGTCAGGGTCACAAGCCAGGGATCAGAACAGGTAGCAAAGGAACAGAAACAGGATGCAGGACAGATACAGGGCCCAGGACAAACACAACACCAAGGCAGAGTCTGCAAGTCTGGCCATCCCTTAAATACACCAGTATCATCAGTTCCAGGTGTTAGCTGGCTGAAAGGTTGAGTCTCTGATTGCTGGGAGCATCCGCTGGCCAGCCCTGGTACTGCAGATCAAAAGGCAGGCGAGTCCCACCATTGCTGGCCAGTCCATTCCTGACAGTACCCCCCCCTCAAGGAGCGGCCTCAGGACGCTCCAAACAGTCCTAGCTGGGAAAAATGTTCCACCGCCCGGGGTCTGGTAACTGGCGGGATATCAAAGACTGGCACACCGGGCAGGACTCCGGGCAGCGGTACACCCGGGCAGAGGCACATCGGGCTGGACTCCGGGCAGAGGCACACCGGGCAGAGCCACACCGGGCAGAGGCACATCGGGCTGGACTCCGGGCAGAGGCACATCGGGCTGGACTCCGGGCAGAGGCACATCGGGCTGGACTCCGGGCAGAGGCACACCGGGCAGAGGCACATCGGGCTGGACTCCGGGCAGAGGCACATCGGGCAGGACTCCGGGCAGAGGCACATCGGGCAGGACTCCGGGCAGAGGCACATCGGGCAGGACTCCGGGCAGAGGCACATCGGGCTAGACTCCGGGCAGAGGCACATCGGGCTACCAGGCGGAGCGGCAGGCACCGGGCCCCCGGGCGGAGCGGCAGGCACCGGGCCCCGGGCGGGGCGGCAGGCACCGGGCCCCCGGGCGGGGCGACAGGCCTCGGGCCCCCGGGCGGGGCGACAGGCCTCGGGCCCCCGGGCGGGGCGACAGGCCTCGGGCCCCCCGGGCGGGGCGACAGGCCTCGGACCCACAGGCGGGGCGACAGGCATCGGGCCCACAGGCGGGGCGACAGGCATCGGGCCCACAGGCGGGGCGACAGGCATCGGGCCCACAGGCGGGGCGACAGGCATCGGGCCCCCAGGCGGAGTGGCGGGCGCCGGACCCCCAGGCGGAACTACAGGTCTCGGGCCCTCAGGCGGAGCGGCGGGCGCCGGACCCCCGGGTGGAGCGACAGGTCTCGTGCCCTCAGGCGGAGCGGCGGGCGCCGGACCCCCAGGTGGAGCGACAGGCATCGGGCCCCCAGGCGGGGCGACAGGCATCGGGCCCCCAGGCGGAACTACAGGTCTCGGGCCCTCAGGCGGAGCGGCGGGCGCCGGACCCCCGGGTGGAGCGACAGGTCTCGGGCCCTCAGGCGGAGCGGCGGGCGCCGGACCCCCAGGTGGAGCGACAGGTCTCGGGCCCCCGGGCGGAGCGACAGGTCTCGGGCCCCCAGGCGGAGCGGCGGGCGCCGGACCCCCAGGTGGAGCGACAGGTCTCGGGCCCTCAGGCGGAGCGGCGGGCGCCGGACCCCCAGGTGGAGCGACAGGTCTCGGGCCCTCAGGCGGAGCGGCGGGCGCCGGACCCCCAGGCGGTGCGACAGGTCTCAGGCCCTCAGGCGGAGCGACAGGTCTCAGGCCCCCAGGCGGGGCGGCGGGCGCCGGACCCCCAGGTGGAGCGGCGGGCGCTGGACCCCCAGGCGGAGCGACAGGTCTCGGGCCCCCAGGCGGAGCGGCGGGCACCGAGTCACCAGGCACGACAGTGGGCTCCGAGTCAACTGGCATGACCGCTGGCACTAGGTCAGACATTGGATCGTCTGGCTGGACAGCGGGCATCGGTCACCAGGCATCAGGTCATTTGGCTCGACAGCGGGCACCGCGTCATCTGGCAAGGCAGTGGGCTCAGAGTCAACTGGTATGACCGCGGGCACTGGGTCAGACATTGGATCGTCTGACCGGACAGCGGGCATCGGGTCACCAGGCATCAGGTCATTTGGCTCGACCCGCGGGCACCGCGTCATCTGGCAAGGCAGTGGGCTCCAAGTCAACAGGCACGACAGTGGGCACCGGGTCATCAGGTACCGGATTGTCTGGCTCGACAGCAGGCATCGGGTCACCAGGTATGACAGCGGGCACTGGGTCACCAGGCATCAGGTCATTTGGCTTGCCAGCGGGCACCGCGTCATCTGGCAAGGCAGTGGGCACCGAGTCACCAGGTACGACAGCGGTCTCTGAGTCAATTGGCACGACAGCGGGCACCGGATCAGGTACCGGATCATCTGGATCAACAGCGGGCATCGAGTCAACTGGCCTAATAGGATCGTCAGGCTGGATCAGTTCATCATGCTGGGTAGAGGCATCAGGCTGAATGCCGGCGTCCGGCTGAGTAGAGGCTTCAGGCCGAGTAGAGGCTTCAGGCCGAGTAGAGGCTTCAGGCTGAAGAGAGGCATCAGGCTGCATACAGGCATCAGGCTGAAGAGAGGCATCAGGCTGCGTACAGGCATCAGGCTGAAGAGAGGCATCAGGCTGCGTACAGGCATCAGGCTGAAGAGAGAGCATCAGGCTGCGTACAGGCATCAGGCTGAGTAGAGGCATCAGGCCGAGTAGAGGCTTCAGGCTGAGTAGAGGCTTCAGGCTGAACCACGGAAGGCAGGCTCACCGGTTTGGATACTGGCAGGATGGTACTGGTTGGAAAGAATTTTCGCTTTTTTCTGGTTTTTAACTACTGGAGCACTGCAAGTAAACGCAGGTCTGCAAACGAATGGAGCAGCTGGAGACAGAGAAGAACTGGAGGATGGAACAGGAGAGGGAGCAGTTGCTACAGAGGGCTTTTTTACAGGGTTAAAGGCAGGATAGGTGCAGCAAGTGGGAACAGGGTACTGACATGCGGTAGATAGCCAAGTATACTGGGCTGTAACTGGAGGAGCTGTTGGGAATACAGGAGTAGAGTTAGAAGCAGGACTGGGTTTTTGTAAGCTGACTGAGGCTGGGTGCAACAAGTCTGTCCATGTCTGCAGTATGGGTTGAACAAAGCTGAGCTTACACAAAGCCTGTCTGACCAAAGAGTGCACTGCGTTTATACAATCTCTTAGTGTCTGTGGTGAACATGTGGAATAACGCTCCAGAAAGTAACCCACATCATCCTCTAATAACCACACCAGGGACTCTACCTGGTCTGCACTAAATGGTGGCAAAAATTCATCCCTGCATTCGGGGGTACCAGATGAAAACCAACTCTGCACAAACCTCAATCAAAGGCTGCACCTCAGAGAACTCTGTGCCCTGATCTACTAGAACATGAGCGAGCCGTATACATTCTAGCAGTTCATCCCGGGGATACTCCTTCAGAGTTTGATAAGCATACTCCCTGTCATCAAACACTAGCAGATATAATACACAACCTCATCCAGATCCATCCTTCCCATCAACAAGCCAAGATGGCTTCCCTGTGCAGCCACTTCTGGTCAGGATTGGCCTTGGTGTGTAATGTCAGGGCTCCCAGGTATGACCAGAGGTGTGTGACTGAAGCAGGGAAACGCAGACTTCAGATATGTGATTAACAATGTAATTTATTAACACTAACAATACAAACATAAACGCAGTGCAATACTAAACATAATACAGTGCAAAACAAAACCAAACCAACCACCCACAGATAACAGTACATACAAGCAAGCGTCGTCAGGCAGGCCGGGTCAATATCAATTGGGCAGGTAGGTACAGGGGGAGTAAGCGGAGAATGGTCGGGGGTCACAGGCCAGGTTCAGCAGGTAGCAAAGCAGCGTAGTACAGAGGGTCAGGCAGAGGGATAATCAGGGTCACAAGCCAGGGATCAGAACAGGTAGCAAGCAGCGTAGTACAGAGGGTCAGGCAGAGGGATGGTCAGGGTCACAAGCCAGGGATCAGAACAGGTAGCAAGCAGCGTAGTACAGAGGGTCAGGCAGAGGGATGGTCAGGGTCACAAGCCAGGGATCAGAACAGGTAGGAAAAGGAACAGAAACAGGATGCAGGACAGATACAGGGCCCAGGACAAAACACAACACCAAGGCAGAGTCTGCAAGTCTGGCCATCCCTTAAATACACCAGTATCATCAGTTCCAGGTGTTAGCTGGCTGAAAGGTTGAGTCTCTGATTGCTGGGAGCATCCGCTGGCCAGCCCTGGTACTGCAGATCAAAAGGCAGGTGAGTCCCACCATTGCTGGCCAGTCCATTCCTGACAGAGGGGGTGAGGGGGATGGAGAGAGAGACAGAGAAGGCTACAGGTGCGGCCCTGCTCTCTGCTGCTGGGAGCTAAAGAGCTCCTTAATGTGTCTCCCCACGGTGCTGGAGCCCCTTGGGGACCGTTATCAGGTGCCGGAGGGCATCCGGTCGGGTTTCCCCATACTGAGGAGAATCTGCCTCACCCGACTCCTCCGTGCTAAGAGGTGGCTTGGTCCAGCCGGCGGGAGCTCCGGGATTAGGCGGCCATCATCCTCGGTGGCTAGCCACGCCCCCCGTGTGAAAATTATAACGTCTACAAACTATGGTATAGATAAATGAAATTTAAACAGCTTTTTCTTTCTGACTGCTAAAATACCAGGACAGTACAAAACCCCCAAATGATCCCTTTTACGAAAGTATACTCCCTAAACTATCTGCTGAGTGGCATATTGAGTCCATGGAAGATTTATTTTTTTCCACAAGTTTTTTGGAAAAAATGACAATTGTCTTTTTATTTTTTACACAGTTGTCATTTAAATAATAAATATAGTTCTCCACACAAGACATGGGTATATGTATAATTACACCCCATAATACATTCTGCTACTTCTACAGAGTATGGGGAAGATACCACATATGAGAGACTTTTGGGAGCCTAATACTCCACATCCAGGAACCTGAAGATCCAATAGGCCACTTTGAAAGCCTGAAGGATGCGGTAACTTCCTCATTTCACTTCCTCACTAAAGAGCATGAGGCGAGAAAATGAAAAATTAGATGGGGGGGGCTTGGAGAAGAAAAGGGGCGAATTCAGCTAATAAGATATGAATTCGATTCGATGCGAATCTTCTCTGTTTCTACCGCTAAGAAGATGACTTATAAATAGTGTTTCTAGGCTTCAGAGCAGAGCCTTTCAAATTAGTGGCAGAACACTGTAGAAACCTTTAATTTAAATGCCCCTTGGAGATGAGGAAGGAGAAGGAGAAGGAGAAGGAGAGAAGGAGAAGGATGAGAAGAAGGAGAAGAGGAAAGGAAGGAGAAGAGGAGAAGGAGAAGGATGGAAGACTAGGAAGGAGTAGATGAGAAGAAGTGAGAAGAAGGAGACTGGAGAAGGATGAGAAGAAGGATGAAGGAGAAGGATGAGAAGGCTGCTAGGAGAAGGAGAAGGATGAGAATAAGGGAAGAGAAGGATGAGAAGAAGGAGAAGCTGGCATGAGAAGATGGAGAAGGAGAAGGATGAGAAGGGAGAAGGAGAAGGATGAGAAAGGATGAAATGAGAAGAGAAGGAGGACAAGGATGAGAAGAAGGAGAAGGATGAAGGAATGAGAAAGAAGGTGAGGAGTAAGGATGAGAAAAAGAGGATGAGAAGAAGGCGACGGAAGAGCATAAGGAGAAGGAGCGACGACGGCGAAGGCGAAGGATTACGGATGAGTGAAGCGACGGCGAAGGAGACGGAAGAGAAGAAGACGAAGTGATGAGACGAAGGCGAAGGATGAGAGAGAAGGCGAAGGATGAGGAAGAAGGAGAAGGAGAAGGGAGAGAAGAATGAGAAGGATGAAGGAGAAGGAGTAGGAAGAAGGATGAAGGAGAAGGATGAGGAGAAGGGAGAAGGATGAGAAGAACGAGAAGGATGAGACAAGGAGAAGGAGAAGGATGAAAGAAGGAGAAGGGGGAAGGAGAGAAGAAGGGGGAAGGATTGAGAAGAAGGAGAAGGAAAGGATTTAGAAGAAGGGGAAGGAGAAAGGGTGGAAGAAGGAGAAAGGGGGAAAAGGGTGAGAAGAAAAAGGAGAAGGAAAAAGGATGGAAAAAAGGAGGGAAAGGGGAAGGGAAAGAGGAAAGGGGAAGGGATGGGGAAGAAGGAGAAAAGGGTGAAAGAAGGGGAAGGAGAAGGATGAGAAGAAGGAAGGATGAGAAGAAGGGGAAAGATGAAAAAGGAGAAGGAGAAAGGGTGAGAAGAAAGGAGAAGGATGAGAAAAGGAAAAAGGGAGAAAAGAAGGGGAAGGAGAAAGGGGAAAGGGTGGGGAAAAAAAGGGGAAGGATGAGAAGAAGGAAAGGAGAAGGATGAGAAGAAGGAAAAAGGAAAGGTGAGAAGAAAGGGGAAGGAGGGAAGGGTGAGAAGAAGGAGAAGGATGAGAAAAAAGGAGAAGGATGAAAGAAGGAAAAAAGGAGAAGGAAACAAAAGAAGAAGGATGAAAAAAAGGAAAAGGGGGAAGGGGAGAAATTGGGGAAAGGAAAGAAGAAAGGGGAAGGAGAAGGGTTTAAAAGAAGGAGAAGGAGAAAAGGGTGAGAAAAAGGGGAAGGGTGAGAAGAAGGATGAAGAAAGGGGAAGGGGTGAGAGAAAAAAGGAGAAGGATGAGAAAAAAAGGAGAAGGAAAGAGAAGGAAAGGAAAGGATGGGGAAGAAGGAAAGAGAAGAAAGGGGAGAAGAAAGGGGAAAGGAAAGAAAAGGGAAAGGAAAATTCCCGGACAGTTTTTTGTCTATTTCTGACAGTTTTTGGACATTCCCCTCCTACAAAGCGGTTTTTAACCGCGGGATGGAGGGGAAAGTCCCTAGAACTGTCAAAAAAGACATTTCTGCGTTCTGGGGCATTTCCCTTTTTAATTTCAGCGGTTTTAAACATTGGATCTATTTGTTTCCCCTAAATGGGTCCATTTTTGGAAACAAATAGAACAATGTTTCAAACCGGGTGTTGGAAGGAAAAGTCCCAGAACTGTCTTTAAAAATCTAATTTTTTTGACAGTTTTTTATGAAAATTCCCTCCAAACAAACGGTTAAAAACCCCTGTTTGGGGGTGATTGTCCCAGAACTGTCCTAAAAAAGTCTAAATTTTTTTTACAGTTTTTGGGAACATTCACTCCATAAAGCTGTTTCCAAAAAACCCCTGTATGGAGGGAATTTCCCTGGAACTGTCAAAAAAGACTATTAAAAGAAAAGTTCTGGACTGTCCCCTTTCCCAAAAAGCGGTTTTAAAAAATTGTAAAGTAAATTTTTTTCCAAAAATGGATCCCTTTATGGAAAAAAAATACAAACAATTTTTTTCAAACCCCTGGATTTGGGAAAAACCCGGGCCCAGAACTGTCCCTTAATATCCTACCAAACTATTTTCAAAAAACCCCGTATGGAGGGAATGTCCCTACACGGTTTTAAACAGCTGTAAAGGAGTGATTGTCCCAGAAAATGTCATAAAAGTCTATTTTTTGACAGTTTTTTGGGACATTCCTCCATAAAAGCTTTTTTTCAACCGCTGTATGGAGGGAATGTCTGGAACTGTCAAAATAGACTATTAAACAGTTTTGGGACGTCCTTCCATGCAGCGGTTTTAAACATTGTAAAAATTTGTTTTCCAAAAAGGGGTCCATAAAAAGTTTCCCGAGCCCCTAAAATGTATCGCAGAGCTCCCTCTAAGTGGGATCTGGGAGAATTTGAGGGCTCTGCCCCATACACTTTT